CACACACATGACACACAAAGAAGCGTGCATTATACCTATACCCCAACACCAGATAACTCCCACCAGCCCACCTCCCCAACCCCCACCCACTCCACACTCTTCTCTGGGGTTCTGAACCTTGTCCATCTCTGAGACTCAGCCCAGGCCCAAGGTGTTGGTGACAAGCCCCAGGGGCCATTCCTTGTGGTCCATTCCAAAATTGATGGCTGGTCCCTCTCACCTGACACATTTCAAATGCTGCTTGGGAGTGTGATGTGTCTTTAAAATCTTCACCATAGGCATTTGTTAGAGTTTTGATTGTGAACTGAACAAGATGCAGTCTCTGATAACTATTGCTCAGAGAGCGATTTAAGAGAGAAAGGCCACAGCCCACATTCCTGGCGCTGGATTCTTCCAGTTTCATTCCTGCTATGTGTGACCATCAGAAAGCAGAGTACCTGGGTCATATTATCTCGGCTGCTCGCATAAACGTTTCCATGAGTTATGCTTTAATGTCAGGCCTCTAGCTTTTATCGAGGGTCGATAGGAGAATCATCTGGTCGAACAACATTTTGGTAGCTTTTGTAAAACTGCAGCTGAAGACATCGTTCACTGTGTCACTCAGTGTCCTTTACACAAGGATCCACACGATAAATTCTGGCTTGTGTTTAGTTCCAGGAAGAAATTCTATTTCTGCAGATAAATTAGTCAGCATGCTTCCTGCTGTCAGAAAATGAAAGCTCTGTAACTCTGGGTGCTTCACTTCTTGCTTAGMGGCTAGACGAGGGAGAGGCAAATTTATTGCCTGTGTGTGTAATTTGCTCAGCTGTGGGGTCCAAAAGCACTTACTCCTTCTACTTCTTTTAAATGGACTTATTTTATTTTATGTTCAAATGTCTCATTGTACTTTTGCGAGATGTGTGAGTCTGGAAGCCATCTGGGGAAGCATTCATTTGCCCATTGATTTGACCAATTTATTGCTCGTTTTGGCTGCTGGGGATACAAAGATGAATTCGGCTGCACCCAGTTTTTAAGAAGCTCACATTTTAGTGTTCAGAAAAGCTATGGAAATAAATAATTGCAAAACAAGCTGGTGCACTAAGAGCTGTTTGAGGCCAGGGGAAGAGCAGCCGTGGGAGGCGGGGTCAGAGAAGGCTTCACGGAGGGGTCAAGGCCAAACTGGTTTTGCTGTGCCAGTGGGAAGAGGATAGTGAATGGAAGAATACATGTTTCTGAATCTGAAATTTGAAAAGGGAGTTCTTGTATCTATCTGTCTCTCTATCTATTGTATTTATCTATCTATTGTATCTATCTATTTATTGTCTATGTCCCCTCACTTTGGTTAGGTTGGAAATTCTAGGAGGGCCCCACTGGATCTGTGCCCCTCTGTGGGCTCCAGTATGCTGGGAAAGGTGCCCAGAGCAGGTGCAGTGTGGTAGCTGGACAGAGACTCAGAACCAGGCTGCTTGTATTCTATATTCTGTATGCTGTATTCTGAGCTGAGCAGAATAGGCAGGTTTGCTTAACTCCTCTGGGCCTTAGCTGTGAAGGAGATAATGATGAGTACCTCATGGGGATGTTATGAACATTAAAGAAAATACACTTAGAGAAATTATACACATGCCCAGCTCATGGTAAAATACTCAGGAACGCATCTGCATTATTAACAATCCTTTATCGTTTAGGGTAGCTGGGACRACCGAGTGGCACGCACACGCTGGAGTTCAGCGAAGCCCTCTGGACTGTCCTTTACAAGTGATGCCTGCAGTAAAACACCGTTATTTTATTGTCTCCTGAAGGAGTGTGTGGGAGCCAGTCTCTCCAGGTCCTCAGTCACTTGTGTTTGTGGGATGATGCCCTTAGAACTGGTCACTGATCTAACTCTTCAATCCCCAGCTYTAGCTCTCAGACCTAGGGAGCCTACAGGGCCGGAGCTTCTCCTGCCTTATTTCTATCTTCATTCATTGCCMTGTCCACTGCTTTTCAAAAAGACTGGGGTTGGTAGATGTTTATAATTCCTGATGTTCCTCAGGCAGGTGGTAAACAGAAAGCCATGGTCTGGACTTTCAGCCAGAAAAGGAGTAGAAATCCTTATAAAACTGCGTGTGTGTGTGTGCGCGCGCGCGCGCACGTGCGCACACATACACTGCACACACAACTGGCCTTCAGAGGGGTACTTGTCTGTTTGCCAGTGGTGTGGTGGTGTTAAATAGCTGCTCTCAAAAAAAAAAAAAATTGCCTGGTTTGCGGGCACCACAGCACATGCCTATAATCCCAGCATCTCAGGAGGCCGAGGCAAGAGGATCGCCGAGTTTAAAGCCAGCCTCAGCAAAATTGAGGTGCTAAGCAACTCAGTAAGACCCTATACCTAAATAAAATACAAAATAGGGCTGGGGATGTGGCTCTGTGGTAAAGTTCCCCTGAATTCAATCCCYAGTACTCCTTACCCCCACAAAAGGCTGGGTTTTATAACAATTTATTGCCAATTTCTTTGGTGTAAATTCTCCACCATATCTGATTTCAAGCTACCAGTGTGACATCATTAATGTAGACTTGAGAAGACTTGCCCAGCAGCATACAATCATCTAGTCTCTTCACTATACAGTACAGTGGATGCAGGTAATTTAAATGTTATCAATTAATTAACAAATCTTTGAAGATTACTTTTGTCTAAAAATAAAATTCATTAAATTCTAAGCATACAGAATTTGATTTTAAAACACCTCCCCAAGTTCCTGCAACATTAACATCTTGGTCTAAGGTATGAGATGAGCTGACTGCCCCTCGCTTAGGGTTTGGCGACCCATCACCCAATCGCGACCTCTTGCGGATGGACGGAGCCTCCCGCAGCACCACTAGGTCTTTGTTCCTTTGGGGTTCGCCATTGCCTTTGTACTTATTTCCTTGGGCGCGCATCTGCTTTTACATAAAGACAGTTCCTATGCAAAATATATGGGAAAACCTCATCTGCTCAGTTTTATTTATTTCCCCCAAACCAACCGCACCTACATGGATACTTAGGAGCAGGCAGGTGGGGGAAAAAAGAGAGAGAATGAGAATAACGGAGCATATTTAAAACCGAGGGGGAGGGAAACTGAAGAGATAGACCAGGAAATGGAGCCAAAAGGACAGAAGAGAGCAGGACAAAGGAGCGGATGGGGCACGACGCATCCAGTCCCTGTGCATCTGAAGCCCACGTGCGAGGGAGCTGCAGGGGCGCTGTCCCTATAGTCGTTGTCGCCCAGGCCTGCAGCAGGCTCAGTCTGGAAGCCCTGTAAACAGTCTGGGGTGTCCAGGTTCCGCTCCATCAGAGGAGCCCCGCTGCTCGCGGTCACCTGGGACGCATGCGCACTGGCGGCCCAGACTTGCCCCAGACAGGCTCCCAAGAGCCTGGAGGGCGACCCGGCTGTTGGTCTCACAATGGCAGCTGGGGGATGTGAACACCTCTTCTCTAATTGGGATAGTGTGCTTTTAAAACAAATAGGCATTTCCAAAGCTCTTAATTAAACCTCCGGCCAGGCGGCTTTCCGTTTGAAGTTTGCTGATGGCTTCAGGCAGAGCTGGGCCCCGCTGACCCTGGCACCTGCCACAGTTGAGAAGTCTCCAGGGACATGAGCGGGGAACAAGGGCCTGCGGCTGCAACTGAGAACATGCGGCGGTGTTCCAAAGGCCTGGGAGTGTCTGTCCCCGCTGGAGGGTCAGGTCAGGGAGGGCCTGGGCTCGGGAGCAGAGAGGACAGAATAGCTCTTGCCCTGAAAGTCACAGGAATGGCTTGCCAGGCCCCCGGAGCGAGTGGCATTTTTCACATCATTGTATCTCACAAGCCAGGGTCATGAAGGCTAGAGGACAGGCCGGAGTTTTGAGGGCCGGATGGCAGCTCTAGGGGCGGACTCCACATCCAGGGGCCTGCCCAGGGTGAGCAGGGCAGGGCTTGGAGCCCAGAGGGTCCACTTGACAACTCTTCCAGCAGAGGTCATTGAGCCTGCCCGGGACCAGTTCAACCAGCTATTAGCCCGGGACAGCTGGCCAAGGCACTGAGCAGAGAGTCAGTCCTGAGGTGCAGGCCCCTGGCCACGGGGCAGGGGGCAGGTCGTCTGAGCCCTCAGTGCCAGGGTCAGCCGTGGGAGCATGGAGCGCCAAGCAGTGTGRCTTGGGCTTGCTGCTCCTGCCTCTGGTGTAGTCAGTTGTTATTCCACATTATCATTATTAGTACTTCTGAAAGGCAGTGACCCATCTCCCTCAGAGTCCAAGTTACTAGGGTCCACCGGGCCAGTACTCATACGTTCAGGACTCTGTCCCACTTCCCTGCTGTCGGCCCTGGGCGCTGGATTTCTCTAGCTGCAGGTCATTGCAGGGTCCAGGCCACCTCCAGGGGAGACGAGAGGCTGGGCCCYGGCTAGCTGGGGAGGGCAGGACCCCTGCTCTACCAGCCTGTTGGAGAGCTGCACTGTCCCTGGGTGACTTCCTTGGGTCACATGTCAAAAGGAGGCGCTTTCTACAGATGCTCGCTGGTGAGAGGGTGTGAAGGGCCTCTTGAATGTGACCTATGGGTCTAGTGTCTGCACGTCAGTGTGCTGAGGTCCCCGTCGCTGGAACTCAGAGAACGGGGTGGAGCCCCTGTTCCAACACTCACTGGACACGGGACCCCAGGGTCAGGGTGGCAGAATCTCCTTCGCCTGTCAAATGCACCTCTCTTTCTGGACTTGTGAGGATGGAAGGGGAYAGTGCACATCAGGCCACTGCAGACGGGCCACTGTTCCATTATTCATTGTCACTGATGGGGTTAGAAGTGGCTCTAGAAAGCTCAGAGAAGGACCCGGATGTAGGGGGTGGACACAGGGGATGTGGGTGGGAGGGGCCCGCAGCATGAGGCGCGGCTGGAAGGTAGGGGGAGCAGAGCAGGGGTGGGAGTGAGGGGCACCTGGGAGCCACGCCCACAGCAACCCTGGCTTCCCTCCCCTCCAGGGCCGTGCTCCGTCTCCACCCCCACTCCCTCCCCGCGGCCTTTGCTCTGTACTCACCTAGAGCCACCTGCTGTATGTGCCGCCTGGTGATCTCCTCCTTCAGGTGACCTGTCAAAGACAGAGTGAGTCACTAACGGGTCTCCAGTGGGCTGCAGGWAGACCTGCCTCAGGAGCATGTGGCCAGCTAAACGAGGAATTTAAAGTACAGATTAAAGAAGACGGAAGCAGGCACACCTTCCAAGGAGAGCCCCAACCCCCATTTATGTCCTGGGTTGTGCTGAAAGAGATGCTGCCAGGGCAGGCACTGGCTTGTCAACACCAATATACTCCTCACCCTGGGACTCAATCACAGGGCTCATTTGTCATCTGTCACTCATAACCTTTGCTAGGGCCCTACTCTCTTAAATAGTTCTTTTTGTCTGTTATTAATAAAGGGGGAGGCAGGATTTGGTCTTTCAATAATTTATCCACTTCTTTCTTTAAGTGATATGAAACTGTGTCAAATTAAAAAAAGAGTAGTTTTAGTTGAAAATAATCTTAACAGTTGATTAGTAGGTATAAAGTGACATAATTTTAGGTTGCATCAATAAAGCTATAGTGGCTTGAACAAGGGAGGTGATATTCTATTGTATTCTGCAGTCTTGAGATCACAGTTGGTATTTGTTCTGGGAGCTTCCTTCACAAGAAGAATCAAAGGATGGGTGACTGGGATGGTTGAGAGATCTGAAATTATGCCATTTGAGACACATTTGAGGTGACCTGAGATATTTGGAGGGAGAAGAAGGGTTAGAGGGAGAGGAGGCAGAGAGATAATGGCTGTCTTTGGATAACTGTATGCTGTCATATGGATGAAGGAACAGATTTATTTTGTCTTCCTCCTGAGGGCAGAAGTCAAATCAAACAAAGGCAGACTTTGGGGCTCAAACAGAAGGCAGAGAGCTCCCAATGAGCACTGTTTCAAAATGGATCAAGTTGTCTCAAGTGGATTAAATCTCCTGGCACCGCAGSGAGCTGCTTCTGGAAAGTGCTGGCGCAGAGGCTGGGTGATCATCGGAAGGACRTCCTGCCCGGGGAGGAGCGGGGCTGCTTGCCACCAGGCCGCCTTCGTCCCGCCCTCCCTGATTTCAGGTTGAGGGTGGCTGACAGCACCTGGCCTGCTTGTGTCTGGGTGCAGCCTGCGTGTTAGGAGGTCAGTGCTGTCTGCGTCACACGGCCCCCGAGGAGGGTGACGAGCCCCTGGGGATTCCGGGACCCCCTTGTCTGACATATTCCTTTCCTCAGGTGAAGTACATGGTACAGCTCCGAGGCTGCAGCTGGACCCAGGAGCTAGACCCTGAGCAGACAGGGGAGGGGTCACGGGAGACCTGTCACTCACAAGTGCGGGGACACTGCCAGGACAGCACGATGGGAGGGAAGGCAGAGGTCACGCCTCCCAACTCCCCAGCTGATTCAGGATCCTCTGCAGAATGAGGCGGCCTCTCCCCTGCCTGTGGGTCCAGCCCGTCCCACTGAGGAAGGYGTCCAGGAGGGCTCTGTCCTGCCGAGTGTCACCTGCTTGCCTGTGACTTTCAGTTATTGGGCTGCTCAGTCCTCTGCACCAGCACAGAAAGGACGGTCCCTCGCTGGCAGGGACAGCCCTTCCCCCAGCTCAGGACACCACGCTTTCTGTGCTTAGTTTGCTTTGGTTTCTTTGGCTGTGGTGGTGCTGAGGGGGACCGGGCCTGTGCGTGCCGGGCAAGACCTCTACTTCCCACGACACCCCACTTTCTCCCTGCTGAGCCTTCCCAGTCCCCGGGGGGGCCCTCAGAGGCCACTGCCTCAGCACATTGCCATGGGGGGAGGGCTTGGGTCCCTGCATGTCTGCCCCTTGCCTTCCATGTGTCCCCACTGGGGAGGAAACTGCAGGAGAGGAAGCATGAGCAATGACTGTCCCTAATTCTAGGTGGGGAAGGGCAGGGGCTTCAGGGGAGCTTGAGGGGAGCTGGGGAGGGGAGACCTGGYTGGGTGGAGAATACTGGTGAGCCTGAGGCCACCATGAAAATGACCTGACACTGGGCCAGCCACAGCCACAGCTGGGATCTCCCTGCACTCTGTGTGATGTGGCCTTGACTGTCCCTGTCAGTGGAGTGAAGCAGCGGGGGAGCACAAGGATGGTGCTGGCCGAGGCTCCGGTCAGTGGCTGGGCTCTCAGGAAGCCTGGCGCGTGCGCACTCCCAGTGCAAGGAGATGCAACCGCGGCAAATGCAACACACCCCGAGAGACCTCTGGGTTCAGCGCGGGGCACGGAGCTGCTCTCTTCTCCACCACGTGCACAGCTCAGGCCTCGACCCCTGCTTGTGCCTGGATGTCTGGTACAGGCACCTCACCCTCGGCCACTCCCATGCCTAGGAACTGCCCTCCGGCCAGCCAGGGAGTGACTTGCTCCTTTAACATACATGCTGGGCTCCTTCTGCCCTGGAAAGCTGCCTCCAACGGTGGGCCTCCAACCTCAGCCTTGCACACAGTAGGTGTTCAACCTCCCCAGTCACCACTTCCTTGCTCCTGGGGAGCTCCTTCCCCCAGGCCCTGGGGAAGCTGTGTTGGGATGAGGGGTCGAGGGTTCTCCATAGCCCCTGCTCAGTCATGTACATAAGGGGGGATTTTAACCAGGACTGAGAGTTTTAGAAAGTCCTCAAACTTAAATACTTATTCTTAGAATCAGGAGGCACCCCTAGGGGCCGAAGCTGGGTCTTTATGATGTTGCATGTTGCTGAACGCAGCTCTGAACCCGCAGCCACACTCAGCTTTGGTGAATGGACTCTCATTTACCCCTCTGCCCCCATGGCAATTTTTTGGAGATCTCCCCAAACAAGCTTCCCAAAATAGCCATGTGGCCGATGTCTAATTGCATTTTCCAGCAGAGCCATCCATCAAGTGAAGATAGCAGTGTCTGTAATCTGCTGGATCTTGCAGCTCCACGGGTTTTGGCAAAAGCAGGGGTTGAGGGGGATTGCAGAATCCACTGAGCATGCAGCTTGCTGTCATTACCACCGTGATAAATTTGCTGGTTTTGGCCTGGGTTCCTGGACACATCCCCATCCAGAGGTATGGAAAAGAGATGAAACGGAAACAGAACTCCCAGCCCGAGGCAGGAGACAGTCTAGGAGGGAAGCAGGGAGCCCAAATCAGGGTCAAACCCAAAGGGGGAGGGCAGGGCAGGAAAGCGCACAGAGGAGAATGTTGGTAGTTAGCAACTTAAACAGTACCTACTGGAAACACCTTCTCTCCCTTTCTGTTCGTTAATTGCTGGAGTGGGTGGCAGTGAGGGCGGAAAGGTACTCTGTGCCTGCAACCTTTCATAGGAGGTATTTGGCCCTGAAAGCAGCCACACGCAGGGCCTGTTCTCTGTTACAAACTCTGTACAAAATCTGCACAACTGATTTTGAACATGGATAATTGGTTTTTTTGGTTACAACAATTTTCCTTAATGCTTCACACTTTGTTTTGCATGCATATTAGTTTGAGATTATTCATGAAATGAAAGCTGCTTGGCCAGGCCAGAGAACAGCAAGCCATTTATGACCCCTGACAGGGCTGTTGCAGGCTGCTTCTGAGATGTCTGTGACGCTGTGCCTGTTGAGGATGCTCTTGTTGCTATCAAGCAATAAACATTTATTACTCATCTACTATATGTTAAGCACTATGTTCTAAGTACTGTAGAATATWCAAATTAAGAGAAAATTCTATCCTAGCCAAAAAAAAAAAAAAAGTAGCACAATACAGGGATCGGCAAATAGGTGACTTGCATGCCCTTGCTTTTAGACTCTGGACCTATAGCTGACCTTGCTCCCTGTCATGGTTGCTATATTAGGTTGTTGTGTTACTATAATGAAACACCTGAGGCAAGCTAACTTAACAAGAGGTTTATTTAGCTCACGATTTTGGAGGATGAAGTACAAACAGCACAGTTCAGGTTCTTGTAAGGGCCCCACTCAGCTGTGTCACCTCAAGGCAATGGTGGGAGGAAGAGATCACATCACCAAAAAGGAAGCCAGAGTCCCACAGTCCCTTGAAGGGCATGCCCCCAGTGACCTAAAGCCCTCCCAACAGGCCTCACCCCTTGTGGGTCCCACCTTCTAACATTGCCACGTTGAAGACCAGGTTTCCAACACGTGAACTTTCAGAGGCACATGTACACCACGTCCAGACCATAGCAATTGGTTTGTTTTTCTGCTGAGTCTGAGCTTGGCTCTTCCACGCAGCATACCGCACAGCTAGAACCAGTCACTTGGAGTTGGACTTGGGATGAAGCAAACCCCTTTGCCCTTTGGGTTATATCAGAAAGGAATGGCCCATTTGGAGACAGCCAGAGTTGCGTTCAGATCCTAACTCGCTACTTCTTAATTGGGTGGCCTACTTAGTATCTCAAAGCCTCCATTTAATCATTTGAAAAATGAGAATGATAACATAACTGCAATAATACCTGCTTTTAAGGGACAATACACGGGTATAATATTCTCTGCTAGTTTTAGGTTGAGACCCTTTCAGGCGGATTGAAAGGATACCACATTACTAAGGTTGCTGAACTACGAGAGCAGCCGCAGAGGCGAGATTTCAGGAGGGAAGGGTGGCRTAGGAAAGGCAGCTGTCAGAGGTGAGATTCAGAGCAGGGTGCTGAGAAAGGTGCTCAGCCAGAGCTAACTACTGACAAGGACAAGGCCCAGAGAAGGTCAGCTGTGCACTAGCTGGGGACAGACGCTGGAGGGACGGCTGCAAGGGGGAGCAGAGCTGGGGCAGGGAGTTCCTATCCTGGGGTCCTGGGTGATTACTGGGGACTCTGGGTCCAGGTGACACCTCGTCTTCTGTTCAACTATGCTTCTGTAGTATCCCAGTAAGCTCAAGTTAAAATCAACGACAGTAGTTAGAGCTGGGGTGCGCAGAGGACACCCAGACCTCCTGCCTGAGGGCCTCTTTGAAATGGGAGGTCGAGTTAGAGGTTCTGAATGCCGAGTGTTGACTTAGAAAAGCCAGTTTTTTTTTTTTTTTTTTTGTACTAACACAGAGGATCTGTGATAACCAAAATGTTAGATCCCTAAAGGATGTTTGTAGGGCTGTTTGTAAAAATAATG